AAACCCCACTGCCATCGAGTTAATTCTGACTCATTGCGATCCTGTACATGATTTCCAAGACTGTAGTTTTTTTTTTGTTTTTTTTTTATGGGAGCATACAGCTTCATTTTTTACCCCTTGGAGTGTCTAATGATTTGGCTAATGGATTTGAACCACCAAACTGAGGTTAGCAGCCCCAATGCTTTATCCACAGCACAACCATTGCCATTGATCAACTTTGACACATACCAGCTTGTGGTTAGCAGCCCAACTCAAAACCTACCACACCACTGGGGGCTCTTACATCACACTTGCTACTAAGTGCCATCGAGTCGGTTCCAACTCATAGCAACCCTGTATAGAGTTTCTGAGGCTGTAATTCTTTGTGGGAACAGAAAGCCTCATCTTTTGTCCATGAAGTGGCAGGTGGGCTCGAACTGCTGACTTTGTGGTTATCAGTCCAGTGCTTGTCTTACAGAGCTGCTGCACTCCCCTATATAGGCAATGTTATTGTGTGCCATCAAGTTAGTTCTGACTCTTAGTGACTCTGTATAGGGTTTCTGCAAGTCCTGGTGTGGCGCTATAAGATGAGCATTTGACTTCTAGCCAGAAGGTCAGTGGTTCAAATCCACCAGCCTCTCCTCAGAAATCCCATTTCTATGAGAATCAACCTGATGGCACTTAGCAACAACAATAGCGTTTACAAGACTGTAAATGTGTATGGGAGCAGAAAGCCTCATATTTAGCTCATGGAGTGGCTGGTGGATTTGCACGGGTGACTTTCTGGTTAGCAGTCCAACACGTAACCCACTATGCCACCAGCACCCTGCTCTATAGGTGGTGGTGTTAAGTGCCATTGAGTCATTTCCAACTCATCGTGACCTATACAGGGTTTCCAAGGAGTGCTTGGTGGGTTTGAACCACCAGCCTTTCAGTTCAAACCAACTTTGCTATCCAGTCTAGTTTTTTAATCCAACAGTTCTACACTAGGACTCTTAATTGTTGCTGTCAAGTCGATTCCGACCCATAGCGACCCTGTATAGGGTTTCAAGGAGCAGCTGGTGAGCTTGAAACACAGACCTTGCAGTTCAGGGAACTAATAATTAAAGGTATCGAGGCCGAGGGATGACATGGAGAATATTGGGAATATTCTTGTTGTGGAGAGAAAACAATCAACAGTATTAAAGGTCTCTTAGTTGGGTGAGAGGTTACGATCGTCGGCAGCTTGAGTTTGGACTTGACTTGAAGGTGGTGGGAGTGGGACTGGGAAGGAACTGTGGATCATCCTTCAGTGTGTCTACCTACTTCTTTATATCTTGAGCAAAAGAAGAAACTTTCTCAATGAAGCAGAAATGAAGCAGTTTTGAGAGTGTAGCTCTCACCTAGTCTTGTTTCCAGATGAATTTTCCTTCCTGAGAGAGGTCAACTGTACCCAGCTGCCCTTCCCCACTCTGAGTCTACTTGGGAAAGGACTTTGGAAGTTTGGGGTTTTGTAGGGTGAAGGAAACTAAAAGCAGTGTATAAAGAATTGGAGAATAATGTTAAAACTGTTTTGTGTTTTGCCTTTTTTGATCCATTCCCATTCAGAGAAGATAGATGAGATCTACAAAGCTTTTGTTAAGGAATCTGGGATCCAGTTCAGTGAACTAGAAGAACAGGTGCTCCAGTTCCACCTCAGTAACCTGGAATATGCCTGTGGCAGCAACCTCCATCAGGTGAGTTTGGGACTTGTGTGTGTGTGTGTGTGCGTATCAAAACATTGGACTCATCCTGGTTTGCTTAAACTAAAGTTTACAAAACACAACTTGAACATATTAAACCAACAGTGGTTTAGAAGTGCTTTTTTTGTTTGTTTGTTTGTAAGCCAGCTCAATCAACGTGAAACTAAATAAAGGTGGGGGCTGTTGGGCTGAATTGGGGAGGAACCGCTGATTGGAAGCATTGTGCTTCTACAGGCTCCTCTGGCCCTCCTCTGAGCTCCTTGTGGCATTTCATGGAACTAGGGAGTCTGCTCGAAAATGCTTCTCAAGAAACTAAAAATACAGTACCCTTGTAATTCAGATCTGTGTATTTTGCTAAAATAAATTTAAATGCACTTAATTCCTTTAACCTACTTTGGTGCTAATACTCAAAAGTGTTTTATATTTCTAATAGAATCTCTGTGAATGACTCAGACTGTTTTATTGTTGTCTCTGAGCCTCTCCATTTCCATCCCATTCTTTATTGTAATTAGAATAACACTTCAAATTCAGGCTAAGTTTCCATCTCTTAGTGTGTTTCCGTGTTGAAGATACATAGTGTGCCTATTTATATATGTTGTTAAGTGCTGTAGAGTTGTTCAGACTCATAGCAACTGTGTGTAGGGTTTCTAAGGAGCAATTGATGGGTTTGAATTGCCAACCTTGCTGTTAGCAATCCAGTGCTTATCCTACATTGCTGCATATGTTGTTAAACTACCATCGAGTCGGTTCCAACTCATAGTAACCCTGTATAGAGTTTCCGAGGAGAGGCTTGTGAGCTTGAAGCTCCAACCTTGTGGTTCAAACCAACTTTGCAGTCCAGCGCATTAATCCACATCGCTGCATATGTTGTTGTTGTTAGGTGTCATCGAGTTGGTACCGACCCATAGCGACCTTATGCACAGCAAAATGAAACACTGTCCGATCGATCCTGGGCCATCCTCACTACTGTTGCCATGCTTGAATCCATTGTGATGCATATGGAGTTCATAAAATCCAGTTTTGTGCTCATAGAACTCTTACTTGCAAGTTTGTTGACAAAACTAATTTGCCCAAGTCATATACAGGCCATTTTGAGATTATGAATGAGGTCCATTCCTAAGTAAGTTGGGACAGTCAGGTATGGTTCCTATCTAAAGTCAGTTAGTCAAGTGTTTGTTATGATATTTAGCACGTAATGTACCTTTCTATTCATCAAAAACAATAAAGAGATCCTAACCAGAGAAGCAGTGACATAAGACATGGAGGCAGAGATGAGATGAGAGAGAGCAGCTGAAGACTCGAGATTCATGGGAAGAGAGGGGTGCTGGTGGCCAGGAAACAGGCTTACAGAATGTGCCCCTTGGTTGTTTAAATGATTATATATCCCTGAGTGTTTTTGTGTACATCCAAAAAAAAAAACCAGAGACTAGAACTAAATAATGTTAAATAATGCCCATAGGGGATTGTAATCACTGCAGTGAAACAAAATACAATAGGAAGGATAAAGGCAAAACCGAGCTTCTCCCATGTAAACTATCACTCAATTCACAATAAAAGCTTTAAAAAAAATTTTTTTAAAAAAAGAAATTATTCAATAATGCTCTTTTGATGCGCATTGCTGAGTAGGGGTGGGTAGGTTTGTTCTTAGGAACCGTTGTGGTGGTGGTTGTGTGTCGTTGAGTGTTTTCCAACTCTGTGTGTGGTTTCTGAGGTTGTCATTGCTACAGAAACAGAAAGCCCCATCTTTCTCCCTCAGAGTGACTGTTACATTAGAACTGTCGACTTTACAGTGAACAGCCCAGCTGGTAATCTTACCTACCAGGGTGCCTAAGGAACTATGTAACTTGAATTTTTAATATAATAATAGACTTTACAGGGTTGGGTTGGTAACTACAGATTGTATATAAATTGGACTTTTATAATCTGGGGACTGCCTTTATACTTTTGAAACCTTGGTGGTTGGTATAAAAAGTTAATGTGCTTCAGCCCCCAGAGACAGACCTAACAATCTACTTCTGAAAATTCAGCCTTAGGGAGCTCAGTTTGACTCTGACATACCAAGGGTTCACCTTGAGTTGGAGTTGATTCAACTTACCTACTCGTGTGTTGTTTCCTTACCCTTGACATTGGTTGGATGCAGTGTTCACAGTGAATCACTTCAGATGACTCTCAGTCCATAGTCTTTGTAACTCCACCACACAACTTTTCCCTGATGGGTCTGGGTAAGAGCCGGTGGGAGAAGATAGGATGATAGGATTCAGTTGTGAAAGATAGTGGTGGTGGAGGAGGTGATTGTTAAGTGTTTTCAAGTTGGTTCCAACCCAAAGTGACCTTGTATAGGGTTTCTGAGGAGCAACTGGTGAGCTTGAACTGTCGACCTTGCAGTTCAAACCAACTTTTCAGTCCAGCGCATTAACCCACAGCGCTACACCAGGCATGATGGTTAACAGGTTATAATTCAGGGTCACAATTGCTCAGGGCATAGTTATTCAGTCAGACAGCCTCTCCTCAGCTGTACACACAGACAGGCCTCTCTGTGGCCTTTGATCTCTCAGCTGTAGGCCTCTTGGCCTCTGTCATGCTTAGCAATGTTTCAGAGCTCTTTTAGGGCTACTGATAAATGCCCAAAGGACACCTCACCCCGCCATTAGCCTTAGTCTTAAGATGGTCGACTCTAGCTCCCCAATTAAGTACCTGGAGGTAGGTAGCCTACTCCAGTAAGAGTTCTTGCCTGAAGGCACACAGCTTTACTTGCTCTGTGGGCTGATAAATAAGTCCATCGTTCTGTCTGCTGCTCTGGCTCTTGGTTCTGCTGCTACTTCTCTGGTGTCACAGCACCCTGTCCCTGGGTTGAGGAGGTTCAAGGATCTCAGGGTCCAAAGGATGTGCTCCCTTCCTGGCTGTTCCTAGATGGTAGTGAGATCCCCCTTTCCTGCTTCTGAGAAGACTTGTTTTAGACCCATGTTACGGTTCAAAGTTTCCTGTCACAGTTAACCCTGTTAAGTCACAGCTGAATTATATCTTCCCCTACCTTTTCTTACCTACTAGACCCATTAGGGGACAAAACGTTTGGTAGGAGTTACAAAAACTATGGGTAGGAGAGTCCTATGTAGTAATTCACCGCACTGCATTGAGTTACTTGGCTTGGTCTGCGCTTCTCTCGTCTCTTAGTGCTGTGCTTTAAGCTTGGCATCCCTGCCCTACTGTTTTGGGTACCTTTTCCCATCTTGAGTCCCTTTTATTAATCCTCAGATACAGATTCAAGAATTGAGTCTCCCAAACTCCCCTGTTGTTCACCAGGTATCTGCCCGTTCCTGGGACCACAATGAATTCTTTGCACAGTTTGCTGGTGACCACACTCTGCTGTCCCCAGGCTACTCTACAATCATTGAAAAATTGGCTGAAGGACTAGACATCCAGCTCAAATCTCCAGTGAGTACCAGCAGTGATGGGAAGTCCTCTGGCTTTGCCTTATTTGTGGAGGGTGTGAAGTTAGGGACAAGTGAATTACACTGTTGGCCAGTATATTGCTTTGATGTTTGCCTGATGTCTGTAAGAACTTTTGGGGCGAGTGTGAGGGGGCTGTGAAGTTCATGGGATTTTTCACTATCTTTCATAAAATTATATTTCTCAGACTTTTTGAAGCCCCCGTAAATAATTGTATGAGTACAGTTGTGACCTAAGATCAGTAGCATTACCTGTCTCAAATAGGTACTGGTGCTGTTTGGAAGCATTAACAATGCAGATGCATTTTCATTAGTGATAAACTATCCAGGTATATTGCTTTAAAACAGTAAACAACTATCTCACAGCCTCCCTGACCCAATGCAATTATTTTCCTTAGGAAAATTTCCCCTAAAGCTTTGTCTTTACGCATTTGTATTGTACATTGCTGTAATCACAGGGATTTTATTTTAACATATATTTCATATGGCATTTTATGACTGATTGTCCCCTATCCTGACAGAGTGTTTGTAGATTTTGACAACTGAGTGCGAGTCCCTGAATTAAGCTGTAACACTTGTTTGGGTCTCAGAATGCTAGGGAATGACTCCCCACACCATAGGAAGTATAAACCCATAGTAGAATTGGATGGGACCCTGGAATCTGTGGTTCTGTCCCTCGTTTCCTTTTTTCATAATTGTCTTACCTGCACAGGTGCAGAGTATTGATTATTCAGGAGAAGAAGTGCAAGTTACTACTACAGACGGTGCAGTGCTTGCGGCACAAAAGGTAACCATTCAGCTTCTACTAGGGCAGAGCTCCTTGTTGACAAGGGCTGGGGGTAAAGGAAAAGGTCATTTCCACCAGACGTTTGTCTTTGGCAGTCTGCATGAAGTCTTGTTTGATTTCTGATGAGTGTGAATGTGCAGACCTGATTTAACCAAACATTGTATAGACTGAGGGATCCCTGGGTGGTGCAAGTGGTTATTGCGTCTCATCGCTACTTGAAAAATTGGCAATTTGAATCTACCTAGAGGTACCTTGGAAGAAAGTCCTGGCAGTTTACTTCAGAAACATCAGCCGTTGGGAACCCTAGCACACAGTTCTACTTCACATACAAGGGGTCGCCACGACATGACAGCAACTGGGTTGTTGTTTTTTGTGTGTGTGTTTGTGTTTTAAATTTGTGGCAGGTAAAATTCTGAGTAGTAGTTCTCACAGTGAGCTCTGTGGTACATTATTTCTGAGAGTCAAGGAAGGAAAGAAATTCCTTGTCCAAATCAGCTTGGAGAGTACATATTACAGACAATATTCTGCTCTTTAGGGGTAAATAAAGACAAAACCAAACCAGTGACTGTCTAGTTGGTGTTGACTGAAGTCAGCCCTGAAGGACAGAGTAGAAATGTCCCACAGGGTTTCAAGATGGTAAATTTTTAGGGAAGCAGACTGCCCATCTTTCTCCCCTGGAGGAGCTGTTGAGTTCAAACCACCAGCCTTGTGGTTAGCAGCTGAGTGCTTAACTGCTGTGTCCACTAGGGCTCCTCAGGCTAAATGTTACTGTTGTTAAGTGCCGTCAAATCGGGTCCAACTCAGCAACCCCATAGTTTCCAAGGAGGGATTTGTGGGTTTGAACTGCCAACCTTGTGGCTACCAGTCCACTGCTTATCATACAATACCACACCAGAACTCGGGTGAAACAGGAACTTATTAAAGGATCTGAGAATTTCTGCGTTAAAGAAATCTACTTTGCTTTGTTTGACTCAGTTTGCGTATTTGTTTTTTACCATAAAACCTTTTTCAAATCAGGAAGTGTGTTGTGTCGTTGAGTTGGTTCCGACTCAGGGAGACCTTATGCACAACAGAATGGGAACGCTTCCTGGTCCTGCGGCCAACCTCACAATCGTTGTTAAGCTTGAACCCATTGCTGCTGCCGTTGTGCTAATCCATCTCGTTGGGGGGCGGGGTCTTCCTCTGTTTAGCTGATCCTCCACTTTACTAAGCATGATGTCCTTCTCCAGGGACTGGTCCTTCCTGATAATATGTCCAAAGTATGAGAGACAAAGTCTGGCCATCATAGTTTCTAAGAAGCATTCTAGCTGTACTTCTTCCAACACAAATTGGTTTGTTCTATATGACAGCATTCTCTTGCTATTCCTCATGTTTCAGTATTCAATGTAAATCTAAACTGCAGTTTTTTGTAAACTATTTTTGTGAGTAGACATTGAAAGGTGCTGCTGGTTCTAGTACCTGAAATACTGAGATGTCCATGATGTTGGAGAACAAAGGAACTAAGTTGGAGTGGAGGAGATGTTGTGATTAATCCGTTTTTGTGTAATTAATCCATTTTTGTGTAGTTGTTCTGAAGTGATTACTGAAAATTATAATTGTGGGACTATCAGTGCATCTTTGTCTGCCTCCATTTTATATTCTTCAGTTATTTAAAACCTGTTTCACATAGCTTAATATTCAGCAGTGTAAGCACTGGACTACTGACAGAAAAGTCAGTGGCTTCATCAGCTGCTTCCCGGAAACCCTATACAGGGTCAGCGAGGCTTCGAAACAGACTCAGTAGTACTTAGGAACAACAGTGTCCAGTGTGAAACCATTGGGGCAGAGTTTCTGGGCTCTAGTAGTATTCCTGGTTGACTGGACTAGCAGCGGTGATCGGCTGGCTGTGCTTTAGAGTCACCTTGTTGTTGTTAAGTGCCATTGAGTCAGTGCTGACCCATAGCGACCCTGTATAGGGTTTCCAAGGAGTGGCTGGTGAGCTTGAACCACCGATCTTGTGGTTCAAATGACTTTACAGTCCAGCGCATTAGCCCACAGCACCACACCTTAGAGTTACCTAGAGGGTGCTTAAAAAGAACATTTGTAAAGCTCCATCCCGACAGAGATTCTTATTTAACCGATCTGGCCATGCTGTTAGTTTCTCAATTGGTTCTAGTGTGACTGAAGTTGAAACCCATTGGCTGTACGGTTTTCTTGTTCTCAAGTCCTTAGATGAAAATCAGGCTAATATTTAAGGTTCTTCCTAGTTGTAAAAAGAAAATTAAATAATTAAATACTACTTTCTAAAATTGTAAGTCAGCAGATAGTTGAGCTCTGGCATTTTGGTAACTCAGTGTCCTGGTTTCCCTGAGAACTGGCTGCCTATGCCAGCCCTGCTGAGTCACACTTTGTCTGCTTGACCCCATGGGTACCCACTCACCCTTCTATGTTTTCTTGCTCTCCATATAAGCTATAGGCTGTATGGACTTTAAAGCTTACTTTGAGGCATTTGAAGTTAAAATTTTTGTGGTAGCTGATACACATCACATAGTTGGCACTGGAAGGTTTCCCAAACTTGCACGTCATAAAAGAGTCCCAACCCAACATGATATACCAACAGGCCCTTGACAAACTGAAATTCACTCTAGACCATGGAAGATTCCCAACCCAACATGATATATCAATAGACCTTTGACAAACTGAAATTCACTCTAGCCTGCTTCTGAGATCTAGCATGTGTGAATGTCATTTGCCGGCTTGTGTACCTAAGTTCTGGTGCTTTGGACAGTTTTTTTGTTAAGAAAAATGAAGCTTATTTCCTTATAGTTCGTATATATCTAATAGACTAATGGTTCTTTTTCCTTTTTTGATTGCATGCTGTTCACTATACCCAGATTGTAGCCCTCCTGTGTGTGAAGAGTATATTGTATATTCTATTATTTCCATGTAGCATCTCACAATTTTAATAATCCTTAATATTACAGGTTGCATTATAAAGCACATGAATGAGTGTTTCAACAGTTTTATGTGTGTACTCGAATTGTTTGAAATTAGTAGGACAGGTATGAATCTTCATGTTATAGATGTTAGGCCCAAGTGGCGGGCATTGGCCACACATTCGAAATGCCAGGAGTGATACACAAATGAGTCCTCTTGACTCCATCTTTAGCATAATTTCCTTTTATGACACTGCTTTTCAAGGTTGGTATCTGCAGATATATCTAACATTGGGTTATTGTTAGTCAGGACTTTCATACAGATGTTTTTATTTTTTATTTATTTATTTTCTTAAATGTTTTATTGTGAATTATGTGAGAACATTAATTTTACATTCATTCTATTGTATATCGTCTCATTGCCATGGTTATAATCCCCTCCATGCATCATCAATCAACCAAAGGGTATACCCTGCAATCCTGCCCCCCCCTCCCCCGTACCCTTCAAGTTTTCAGCACACATTCGCTCTCCCTCTTTGGATCTAAAGTCTCCAGCTGCTTCATCGCTCCACGTCATCATCTCTGCCTCCATTTCAGGCATCACTGCTTCTCTGGGTAGGGTCCCGCTCTCCGCTCTTCTCCCTTGATGGTCCTAGGGACCTCCGCTCCTAGACTGAAAAGTTAATCACTCTATTCCTTGCTATAAAACGTCTACCTTTACATTTCCAACCCTCACAATCAGTCCTGATAACAGTTATTCACTGTTGGATCACAAGAGACCCATCTGCATTTCATTGCATCAGCCCCACCTAGACAG